CGCTGCTCCACTCCCTTCCATGGGTGATATCTGTGATTTGCATAGAACGGTGATATTTTGGTAGACGTGTTCATTTTGTTGTTATATGCAAACTCCGCCATTCCCAGCCATTCTGACCAGTCCGTCTGATGGTAATTGTCGTAGATGCGGAGATAATGTTCAATCTCCTGATTCATGTGTTCCATCTGCCCATCAGTGATTGGGTGATATGCAGTCCCCAGATTCATTTCCATGCCCAACATCCGATTTGTCTCCCTCATGAAGCCCTTGATGTATCGTGAGTCCCTGTTGGTGATGATCTTGCGAGGGATCCCATGATAGCGGAAGACTCGGTCTCTTGTCAACTGTGCTACTCCTTCGCTGCTGATGTCAGTACTAATGGGTTTGACGCAGATCATTTTTGTGAAGGTGTCACACCACATGTCATAGTTCAACCACTTTTTCATCTGATCATTGACCATCTTATCTTATCTCGGCCCGGGTTATCTTATCCCAGATCACGGCATCAGACGGTCCAGATTAGGGGTTCCAGGGATTATCTCTATCGATTCGAGGCTGCGCGACATATGCTCCGGAAGGTTCTACTACAACCCATGACCAGCGTTCCATGCGGTACATAGCCTTATGACTCATTAGTTGTAGATATGACTCAGACTGGATTTGGGTATAAATACTGTAGCTACTTGGTTGTATTCTCCAGTCTTTGAATTCACTTCTCTTTTCGACTTTGTTTTTGGGTTGATTGTCACATAATTCGAAGACTCCCCTCATACCCTCCTACCTCATAACTCTTACTGCTGCATTCCTCACCGCTATGCCCGCTATATCCTCTTCATCCTTATCAACTCACTTATCTTTCTACCAAATCATCTAGTCGTTCTCTGTGATCGTAGAGAAGGGTTCATATCGAGCAAACTGCACCAGGCTACAGGTAACGTTGAGCCCAACCCAAGCCCTACGGTAGCTACAAGGAGTGCTGCGGAGACCTTTGGGAAAACGCACCTCGGGATCATTGGGCACGTGAAGAGCTAGGCCCGGGATCTTTTTGCTAGCAAGAGAACCCCTCCTCAAGTGCTTGCGCAGCACACGAATCCACCATTTTGTACCGATTCCCATCGTCGTCTGGGAGTCCGTCCCCTCCTCCCATCCTACCATTGTTGCCCGATCTGGCGCATCAAAACCAACCCAGGCCCTCCAATCCCTACCTCACCCTCCTGCCTCCTGAAGATGAGATCCCTGACCTTGACAAACTGCCCTCCAAACAACCACCTACCACACCTGTTTGTACCATGACAGGACACTGCATCACCCTCACTGCTAACCCTTGAGATGATTTCCCACGGTGCATTTGGGATTGCATGCGGATGCAGAGTCCCCGTCCTTGCTCTTCTGGTCTTAGTTTGTTGGCACGCCTCGCATGTCTGGATGTATTTCTGGATTTGGTTTCCCATCCTTGGCCACCAGTAGTTCCTTTCCACCATCTCCTGCGTTTGGTTGATCCTGGCATGTCCGGCCAAAGGCGTGTTGTGGTGTAGCCTGATGATCTTGTCCCGTAGCTCCTCGTCCCTTGGAACGTAGAGCTTCCCATGGTACGTGATGAGCCCATCTTCCTTTTTCCACCCGACGAGTGACTTCTCCAGGGCTGCTTTGACGCTTCCATCAATTGACTGAGTAGTCTTGATCTCATCATTCAGCTGCTGATCTTGCCCTTCGAATGTAACTTCTTGCAATCAGAAGAGCTCAGGCTTCAGCAGGGTGACGTCCTTGTTGTCATTCTTGCCCTGATCGTGATCCGCTTGTCGAGATAAGAGATCCGCCTTGCAGTTGAGTGCGCTGGGCCGGTGTTGTAATGTGAAATCAAATTCCGCCAGCTCCGTAATCCATCGTGCTTGCCGTCGGTTAAGCTTCTGTGGTTTCCTGAAGTACTCGAGATTTTGATGATTGGTGAAGATCTCGAATGTTTTGGTGGCCCCCAGGAGTAACTGCCTCCATTCGTCCAATGATAGCATGATCGCAAGCATTTCCTTGTCGTAGATCTCGTAATTCCGCTTGGTTTTGGTCAATGCATGTGAAATAAACGCGATTGGGCGCCAAATGCCATCTTGTTTTTGGCTCAAAACGGATCCTGTTGCCCCTTCCGAAGCATCAGCTTCCAGACGATATTGGCCGGTGTCATTTGGCAGTGCCAAGACCGCGTCCTCTGCAATTCTCTTCTTCAACCCATCAAACACTGCATGTTCATCCGGACCCCATGACCATCCTGCCTTCCCTGTCAGCCGTGTCAGCAGCTTTGCCACCTCCGCGTATCCCCGAACAAAACACCGATAGAAGTTGGTGAAGCCCAGGAACGCTTGGACTTGTTTAACGCTCCCCGGTTCTGGCCATTCCATCACTCCTTTGATCTTGACAGGGTCCATCCGCATCGAGTTGTGTCCAATAATCACACCCAAATATTCGATTTCTGTGCGTTTGAACTCGCACTTTTAGGGCTTCAGGTACAGCTTGTGCTTTTGGAGTAGTTGGAGTACCCGCTTTGTGATCCGCCAGTGTTCAGCCAGGTTATCTGTGAAGATCAGTATGTCATCCAGGTAAACTACCATGTGGCCCTCGTTGATCAGTTCCCGTAGTATGTCATTCATCATGTTCTGGAACATTGCTGGCAAATTGGTGAGACCGAAGAACATAACCAAGGGCTTGTACAGTCCGCGGTTTGTGTGGAATGCGGCCTTCCACTTGTCGCCCTCTTTGATCCGAACATTGTTGTATCCCCACCGGATGTTGGGCTTGGTGAAGAGCTTTGCGCCGCATAGATTATGGACTAGTTCGGAGATCAGCGGCAGCAGGTATCAATTTCGGATCGTCATCTTGTTCAATTTCCGATAATCTTGGACGGGGCGCAGCAACCCATCTTTCTTCTTGACAAAGAAGAATGCTGATGCTATGGGTGATTTTGATGGCCTGATCCGTCCGCTGGCCAGATTCTCTTGTAAGAATTTGTCGAGTTTGACCTGCTTGTTTTGTGATAATGGGTACACCTTGCAGTCCACTGCTTTGGAACCGGGTTTCAGCTCGATTGCATGATCCCATGCCCGTTGGTCTGGTAGCAAGTCAAACAATTCCTTGGCAAATACTTCGACAAATTCCCGGTATTGATCCAGAATCTTCCCCTCGGTCATCCTCTCCTTCTCCTTTTCCACTTCTTCTGCAAACTTCTGTGCCGGCGTTTCCTTCAGCCGTAGATCCACTTCCTTCCCAAAGTCAACCAACAGGATTGATTCTCCCTCTTCCAGGTCCGGTGCACCCGTGTCCAGGTCGCTTACATCCATGTTGATCATCGCTTGATGCTCCTCATGACCCCTTATGTGACACTGCTCTGGGCATCGACTGAATCTCATGGTCTGTTCCTGCCAATCCACCTCGGGGTTGTGTTCCATCAGCCAATCCAGGCCAATGAAGATCCGAGCTTTCCCTAGACACGTCAGAAGGAACGTGCATGTCTCCACATGAGGACCAATTCTCATCCTCAGGTTGATGTAATGCGTGATCCGACCGTTGATGTTTTTGGTGTTGTCGGCATTGCGAGCTACAATGGGCTGCGGGAGTTCCTGGATATCCAACTTCTCTGCCTGCGCATAGTCGGTATCAATGCAGCAGGTACTGCAGCCACTATTGAGCAGCGCCTTTTCTCCGCGTGTCTTTCCCGAGTCCAGGCCCGTGATCTGGACATACACGTCCATCGAATGCCTCTTCCTCTTGGCCTGGTAGTTGTGCAATTCCTGCGCCAATCTGCTGGGCTGGGGGCCCTTCTGCTTCTCGGCCGCCAATTTCCTCTGGACGGCATCTGGCACCCTGGTGCGTTTGGGTGCTTCTGGAACCTTGATTTCGGCAGATCCCTTAGGCGCTTCCTCCTCTTTCAGGGATTGAGCCTCCGGAGCGATGCTCCCCTTTTCAGTCTTTGTTGATGTGGTTTCTTCTCCATGAGCCATAAATACGTAGGAGTCCAATAATTTATCTGCAGTCTTCTGATCCTTTTTATTCTGTAAATACTCTCTATTTAAAGCTATTTTTCGTTGGCGTTCTTTTTCCATATCAGCAATGAGAAAATCGTGAATGTTGGTACGTAGTGAGTCCGAGATTGTATATGTATGTGCAGAATCGTTCATGTCTTTAATTGAAACAAGTACAGAAAATCGTCCATAGTCCGGACGCTCCACCTCCTTGGCTAGAGGAGTGGAGCGTTTCAAAAACCCTTCTCGTGCAGCTTCTCGGTGATCTCCTTGAGGAACTCGTTGTCCTTGTCCCCATTCTCGATCTCTTCAAGCATTGTGGCCCTATTGTCAACCGAAAACAATAGTCGAAAAGAGAAGTGAATTCGAAGACTGGAGAATACAACCAGGTAGCTACAGTATTTATACCCAAATCCAGTCTGAGTCATATCTACAACTAATGAGTCATAAGGCTATGTACCGCATGGAGCACTGGTCATGGGTTGTAGTAGAACCTTCTGGAGCATCTGTCGCGCAGCCTTGAATCGATAACAATAATCCCTGGAACCCCTAGCCTGGACCGTCTGATGCCGTAATCCATGATAAGATAATCCGTGCCGAGATAAGATGGTCGATGATAAGATGAAAAGGGGCTGAATTATGACAGTGATAGTTGCTAATACAAACAAGCTTTAACACCTTATCCATTGCTACAAACCCAAAGACAAGCAGCTTCTCTATCCTCAACAAGAACTCTTTGACTCTTACAACAAGGTCTTCACACCCATTGGCTCAGTCGATGAGGACATTGACCCTAGAGAGGGGGTAATGTCATAGTTTGACCACTTTTTCATCTTATCATCAACGATCTTATCTTATCTTGACACACATTATCTTATCATGGATCACAGCATCACACAGTCCGGGTTAGGGGCTCAGGGGGGTTTATCTCTATTAATCCAACTCTGATTGAGTCATGCATTTTCTGTAGATGACTGTGTATCATTGGTAGCCTTGCCACGTAATTTGAACCTGTCTGAGATGGTGGTGGCAAGCATTATTACTGGTGGAACAGTGTGGAACAAATCAATATAGAAAATGCTGTACCAATGGCAAGAAGATCAACCCCAGAGGTGCGCCTGCTTATCCGATTCTCCCCAGTACCGATCACCCAACACACCCTTTGCAAGAATCTCATCCACTTGCTTCAGCTCCTCTTCAGTCAAGATGATATCACCAGCTGAGAGATTCTCCAATGTGCGAGACACTTTCCTGAGGAGAGTATCAGTTGATCTGAGCATATCAGATGTTCTTATGACTTACGATGACCCAGGAAGGGGGATGACATTCGGGCCCAGGGCTGCAACCCAGGCAATTGAAATTTGAGCAGTTGTGACCCCGCGCTTCTCTGCCACTTGATTGAGCTGTTCGATGATCTCTGCATTGTGCTTCAGAATCACTTCATCTTTGAATCGAGTGAAGCTCTGGCGCAGGTCGCCAGCTGAACAGGTGATGAGGTCAGTCGGCTCCAAGCAGCGCAGCTGAGCATACCATCAAGATCTGCACCAGACTTGTACTTTCCGGAAATCAGGCCATGTCCGAGAGGCCTGGTGGTGTTGGTGAGCCCAAAAGAAATGAGATGCAGCAGACCCGCTCACGAGTAGGCAATAACGGAAACGCCAAGTTCGGTGGCAGCAGCGAGAACTTTCTTCTGATTATGGTCGTACGAGAAGGGGCTGATCTCAATCTCGACTGCTGCAATGGGGTGAACCTGCAAAAAATGAGGATATATGCACACAGTAATTAGTACCACATACCGCATGGGCCTTGCGCAGAGTGTCTGCGTTGCACTCCGAGATCCCGATGTGCAAGAAGTGACCCTCCTTAACGAGCGTGGCCAAGATCCTCATGGTCTCTTCGATCGGATGATGGGTGTCAACGCGAGCGGGTTGAAAGAGATCCATCTTCTTGATGGGCCCAAGCGCACGCGCAATCTTGTCCATCTCGGCCCGCAAATTTTCCTCTCTGCAAAAATTGTCACTGATCAGACTCTTTGAAGCCGATATAAACGCTCACGAGCAGTTGGGGCCTTGCTTTCCAGCGGCGCCCTTGACCGAGAGGAAGGTCTTGTCAGCGTAATCAGGATACTTGACGAAGAAGCGGGACAACAGCTCGAGGTTTCCGGTACCAAGATCCTGATCGTAGAAGGAGCCTGTCATTGTTGAGCTGCATACCAATAAACGACCGCAACGCGATGCACCAGAATTCAGAAACGCTTTGGTTCCGGCGGGAAGCGCATCGATTCCGGCCTTGATGGCCTCGAAGCATTGCTCATCGGGAACTGGGTTGGGCACCCAGCTGGGATGGGGTCAGGGAGGGCTGCTTAGCTGTCAATGGAAGGAGGCGGCGCACGTCATGAGCATCAGGCCATGCTGGGAATGGATCGTCAGCATCCGGTGTCGAAACACGCGTCGAGAGTGATGCGCACCCCGATACGAGCGACAGAGACGCCGGCGAGATTGGCTGACTGTTGAACCATCGATGTTGGACTGAAGGTGAGAGAAATTTCAGAGCTGGTTTGTATGAAGCAGCTGGATGGTTGCTTTTATGGTGTTTGAACATACGGCCGCCGGCAAGAACCACGCGTCACAATCTGTGGCGAAGTAGAGGATCCAGAGTCCGACTCCGCAGGGATATTGGTCATTGCAAGGGCTTCCACTTGAAGATCCCAGTCGTTTGTAGTGGATACTGACACACAACGGCGACCTTGACACCGCAACTGGTTGAAACCGGCGCGTCCACGTAATCCGGGGCCACGCACCTGCGGTTCATCGGGGAATCGTAGAAAGCCACACTATGGATGGTCCAAGAATGATTCTAATCTCCTGCTGGATACTAGCATGCCTAAGCGGCCGGGACCTGACAAAAAAAGTAATTCAATGGCTCGTTTTCGAAGAGGTGATCTTTTCTCCCAAGAGAGACCTCAGACTCGGTTTTGATCTGAGTGAGTGTGCAAACCCGAGATCATCGGGCAATACAAAGCTCGCATCTTCTTCCTCACTGATTTCCGATTCCAATGGCCATCGTTTTTTCAGGCGCAGAGGCGCAGCCGCGCTGTCGACTGATTAGGCGACATGTGAGCAACCATCGACTCGAAAAGCACTAATGCCTCCGGCGCCGTTGGTCGCTCGCGAAAATCTTTGCGTGTCATCGCGGTCGATAGCGGTTCAAAATGTCGTCGCAGGCGAGGATATTTCTTCGGAGACATTAAACGACGGTGAAAACCTGTGTAACACATTTCACGCACTTTTATCAGACCCGCAAATACATTGCCCAGCTGATAGATGTCGAGTTTGAACGGATTATACGGAACATCTGCTTCTGCGAATTCCGGAACAGTCTTGTCCTGCCCGCAACGTCCTTCAGTTGCCGCATGTTCAGGTCCAGCAGAGAAAATGGTACCTATTGGGATAACAGCGGCATCGCGATTTCCATCGCCAGTGGTCGTGTTTTCTGATGTAGACTCTGTGAGACGTGTCCTTCCTGGAGAAGTGATAGCCACCGGGAATGATGTGGGTCGTGTCGATCATCATATTACCGGAGCAAGCATCCCTGTCAAACACGGTAGAAACGAGGCCCAGGAATCGGATATGTAGAACGTACTGGTAGGAAATTTGTGAGAGTGATAGAAAACCAAGCCCTGAAGAAGCGGGTATGTCAGTGACGGGGCCTTCCAAACCGTCTCATCGCCTACCTTCAAGAATTGCGACATGGCTTCGATGACTTTGTCCACGTGGCGGAAGACTGGGGGTCGAATTGTCGCAGATAAGGCATGACGAGGAAAGCGAAATCGTCATCAGCCGGCATTAGAATCACGTCCAGAAGAAGAAATGTGATGTTGTCTGGGTCTTGACGTAGACGTGGGGAATTGAAGTCTTGTGCGAATCCGATCTTGATTTTCTAGATTTCGGCTTTTTTCAGAACGACCTTAACGTTGTCTTCGACGCGAGTAGCATCCATGACACTGAAGAGGACCTGGGATTCAGACGTGAAATGATCTTGAATCGAGTCGCCTAAGGATACTCACGATGCCCGCAGATGCGTCCTCGTATTTGTAAGGATTAAACTTGCCCGAGTCAATATCTTCTCCTGCAGCGATCCAGGAAGGGTTCCAATTCTGATGGTATCGTGGACGCAAGTTGCAGCCGTGTGAGAGCAGGAACGGCTTGTATTTGACCCAGAAGCGTTTGCTGGGATAGTATACACTTATTGGTACTCCAATTATTTAGCGGAGAATTGGTACCCCTTTGGCAAACGCACCTCTCAGTTATCTTGCGCGCTTCAGAGAGTTGTGTCATGGCAAAAGTGCTGCACAAAAAGGTTCCGTGGCGCTTGTGACTGTGACACCTAAGTAGATTCATGTACCCAGATCCGCAACCGCTTTGCTCTTGTCCGCCTCAGTGCAGCGCTCCTTGAGATCTTTGATTCGTTGTAGCGCTTCCCTCTCCACCGATGGAATCCACCTTTCCACCCGTCCAGCATGTACGACCCCAAATCTACCCCTCCGCACGACGAAGCCAAACGCGGGATGGGTAGAACAATCCAACGCCGCCTATCGTCTCTCACCCCTGAGGATGGCCGCTCGTCGAACCTCGAGAAGGCGAGGCAATTGCAGGCCAATGTCACGAGCGATGCAAGTCAGGATGTCCGGGACATGCTCGGTCCCGCAGCCAGCAAGTGTGGGCGTTCCCTCAGGCATAATGAAGCTCTGACATCATTTCAGTCACAGAAGCCACATCGAGAATCGTCGGACGGCCAGCTACATTTCCACCCTCCAGGACAACCGCCTAACGAAGGAATTTCAAGCATCCTTCGAGGTACCCTCATAGAGCTATGAGCCACGCAGACTGATGCATGGGCTCAGAAACTTTCCGATGAAGCCAAGGAAAGCGCTCGCAAGCTGCCGCCACATCGCTTTCTGTCACGGTTTGCGCTCACCGCGCGACCCGCACCAGCGCGCCAATGCCAGAACCTCCTTGGCCAGCGAATTGTGGATCGCAGCTCAGCTTCTGTGTTTTACCGCGCTACCTCCGATATTCACCCTGGCGCTCCTGTCCCGATCTCTGATTGAGTGTACAATCACGCTCCCGAGCAGCCTCATCCGTCTCTGCCCTCCCCACCCCATCACCATCACCCCTCAGCGTCCAACTCCGCTCCGTGCGTTGTCTCTCTGTCCGTTCCGATCTATAACTGACGGCCTCAACACTCAGATCCGGCTCTGCGCAGGACCAGTACGGGGCTGGGAGATCAGTAGGGCATCGCCTTACGCCGTCCCACTTCACGGATCGCAGGTTCGGCGAGACCGGACGCGAGCTGGGGTATCGTTTCCGACAGTCTCCATTCATCAGCTGCGCGCAGCACATCGCGTCAATCCCGTCGGAGCACCGATTCGCGCTCGAGCGGTGGGTACGGCTCCTCCAGCCAACGTCACAACTCGAACGAATCGCGCTGAATAGCGCGGCGGTTTGGAATGCGAACGATAAACGATGCGCGCTCGCCGTTGGAGGAATCACTCCTCTCTCTCGCTGTACCATCACTGGTTGTTCTCACCGCTTGAAATGACAGCTGATTGAAAAACGTTAGACAGTGCACGATTATTTCGATGTGATCGCGGAAAATCCCGTAGCACAGCATATTTCCTCATTCAGTACTTTTCGCTCCACCGCACTCCACGCGACATCTGTTTTTAGCTGGAAGGGACGGACAACCCTGGAATTCCACCGTTCCGTGGATTGGACCGAGCTCGAAAGATGCTGCGTTTGCAGATCCTAGTCGCAGCCGAAATGCAGGAGGCGGATAGACCGCGCGAGGAAATGACAGTGCTGTGCTACGGGATTTTCCGCGATCACATCGAAATAATCGTGCACTGTCTAACGTTTTTCAATCAGCTGGAATACACGATTGGAATTGAATACATGATTACACGGAAACGTACGGATCTGATCCAGATGTCGAGAAAATTTGCCAAGCACTGGTCTGTCCTGTTGATCCGAATCCCAGACGCATCCAGACAACGGACAATTCGTGTCTGTCCATCAGTGAGTCACCGTCACCTTCCTAATCGAGAAGAAGAGTGTTGTTCCGCCGGTACCGTCACGCGCTGGCACAGGCTGGCACCTACACTCGGGAATCTACGGTCCCCAGGAGATAACATGTTTCATTCCACATGAAAAGAAGCACGAAGACCCTTCTGCTCCCGCGGGGGAGTCACAGCCGCGCTTCCATCGCACTAGAGATCGCTCGAGTCATGTATTGCGCAGCTTTTGCTCTGTCTGTGTGAATGCGGGTTCAGAGAAGGTCGAACACACCCCCACATCTATAAATGAACATCATACAAAACGAGAATTCCCATGACTGACTCGGCGTGGGTGAGTTCCCTCTGTGTCGGAGCCAAAAGCTTTATGGGATGGTCCGCTGGCATGTGGTGGGCACATTTCCTGACTCGAAGCGGCGAAACTCAAATTTATACGGGTGCCATTGCCGAGATTGCAGGGAGTCATCGTTGCCGAAAGGTATCTGAAATGGAGACCATGGTTTGGGTGTCTATTAACAAAAGCATCTGATTTCAGATCTCAACAAGGTCTCATAGGACAAAGCATCACATTGAAGTGAGGGTCGGAAAAGGTTACCTCGCCGGTCAATGTCGTCCTTGAACAAATCATATCAAAGGTGTTCCTGCCTAGCATTGGTCATTTGATATGATTTCCAATGATTTGAATGGCACCTTCAGGAATCGCGATATGGCCTCGATCACTTCGTTAATGTAGTGAAAGGCCAGTGTGCCAAATCCCCGCAGGAAAGGCGTGGCGCTCAAATCGAATAAGCTATTGTATAGCGTGAGTAAAAGATCGAGTTTATTGACAAAGAAGATGTTAGAATTCCGGGTGAACCTGAAATAACTGCGATATTAAACATGGAGGATCTTGAGGACGAAGTCCAGAATTTCTTCAATGCAACTTTGACGTTTTCCTGAATCCGTCCAGCGGCTACGTCTCTAGGAAATTATGCGCAGTCTATTCAACGTAAAACACCAGCACGGTGATCTTTTCGCTAGCCACGAGCACGACATGGTCCGAGATGGGTTCCAGTGCGACGAGATGGGATCTTCTCCAGCTACCCACATAGTGTCCGGTCTTTCGTAGCTTATTTCCTCATGAGATCAGGAAAGTGCAGGATCTGAGTTGAGCGGCAGGCATGAAGTCATCCACGGTCTACGGAGAGCCGTTTTTTTGGTGGACATGGTGTGGTTCGAACCGGCGTGATATTGATGCCGTTGATTTGCCTTCAAGTCACGGTCACAGATAACCTCTTTTGTTCAGGCCTGATTTAGCTGGTTTCCTCAGCGGTGCGACCATATGGATTCACCGCATCTCGTCGGTTCCGTGTTTGAACGCACCTCTGTCTCCAAACCGTCGCCGCCGATCGCGCCTGGGACAAACAAAGGGTTCCCCGAAGCAGCTCATCGCACCAAGAAGAGCGCTTTTGTGCGTGCGCGAGAGGCCAAGAACTCTGCCTCTTCGGGTACCCTACCTAAAGATCGCGGACCGCCAACTGTCTTCGCTTCGACCTCCAAATTCGCTCGGCCGTCTGCTTCTGCTAGGACCCCATCACCACCTACGTTTGATCGGGACCTTGCGAGAGATGCAGATGATTGGAGGACACAGATGAGCCTGGAGAACGAGAGGAAGGTCGAGAGCATGACAGAAGAGGAACGAGAAGAGGAGAGACGGGAGATATTGAGTAAATTCGGACCTCATATCGGGGACATCCTGAAAAAGGCCAAAGCAGCGAGGGCGAAAACCTCTACGAGTAGGCTTCTGCTGCCGTATGTAGATCATCGTTTTGACCGCAACGTACTAGAATCTGCTCTTTCTCCTGCCTCACCCGAGGGCTCCCGTCCGGAAAGCCGCGCATCGAAAAAGATACGGTTTGCGGAGGTCACCGCGGACGACGTGCACGTGTACGAATCCGCGCCTTCATCACCCAAACATAAAGCATTAGCGCTGCCCCCGCCGGACGGTTCCGACGATGTCGTGTCTCTGGGAGAATGGAAAGGGTCTCTGAAGAAGGACCCCGAGGAAGGAACCCCGGAGGACATACGACAACGATTCTTCCCATCCACGACTCCGAATCATCCAGATCTGGAGTGGATGCAGGATAGCGCGCCAGTGACCAGTCTGGGTAGCTCTTCACCACCCGATCCTCTTCGCTTCGACTTGTCTGGAAACGTCCTGGAGACCGGCCTGCACTCATCCCTGCCCACCCACCTCGGTCTGCACCACCACGCGCCCGACGCCGACGGCATGCAACGCGCTGGATACACCCTCGAGGACGTCTTCGTCATGTCTCGATCGAGTGTGAAAGCGCAGCGCGCGGCGGGAATGAGGATGCTGGTCGGCGTCGCACGGTGGATCGGCACTGTTCATCGCGGAGACGCGGACCTACCATTGGACTCATTCTTGCCATCGCAGATCCCGGAAATTAAGCAACGGGTGATTGCGAGTGGGATTGAAGCTATGTCTGAGCGAGGCAGTCTTGGTGCACATGCCATCGAGGTCGTCAGAGAATGCGTCGTTGGGTGGTCTCCGATGGATTTCGATTCGACATTAGTCGAATTCGGCGGGGAAGATGCGCTGTTGCCTCGACCGCATCTACTTCAACAGATTGTGGGGGCACTTTCAACCCAAGCAGAAGGCTCGGATTCGTCCTCAGATGCTTCTCTTGCTCATCTACTCGTCGTGCTGACCCACCTCTCTCACCAAACGAACGAGATTGCCACGGAAATCATCTCCACCCCCTCGCTGATCGTGGTGGTCTTCCGCGCCTTCCTTCTAGCAGGGTCCCGGACCACGCTTCCTAATGCTCAATCGGCAATCAATCTAATCGTCATTCTCGCTGCGTCGAGCCGTGCCAATGCACAAGCCCTTCTTGGCCCTTCTGATGCGCTTCTTCGCTTCGCCGCGACGCTACCGCCCGCAGAGGCGACGCTTTTGACGAGTACCCTGGTCTTTTACCGGACTCTTGCAACATATGGGCTGTATTCTTCCATCGCCAGCACCGCTCATCTGCAATTCGCCGCTCTCGCCGCCTACGTTCCCAGCGCCGGTGCGTCGTTGCAGCAAGCTTGGGCTTCTTTGCTCGAGACCTGGCTCGTCTGCGCGACAGATCCGCATCAGACCACGCCCGAGCATGAAATCCTCTGGAGCCAGATTGAAGCATGGGGCTGGGGCGCTGACCTCCTTGCCCTGCGCGACCACGTGACGACTGAGGACGCGCTCGCTTGGACTTCGATGTGGAATGCACTGGCTGCGTGGCTGGAAGGGGCGCGAGTCAACGGAGTTCGAAGCGGCGAGAACGAGCGCGCTGAATGTTTGGGTGCACTCGGGCACGGATTCGAGAGTGGGAAGGAACGGGACGTTGTCGAAGCTGCGCTGAGGACGCTCGAGACCGCGGACAACCCCGAGACTCTGGGTACCTCCTCTCAAGTTCTCTCTGCCGCTATACGGCTGTGGTTGACATTCCCAAACACCTCGTTCACACTCCCGATCGATAGGATCTCCGAGCTCTGTGGCAAACTCGTAGTCCACCCAGTTTGGAAGCAGTCCTCCGGGCGGTGCTATTTTCTCCTGCGACCTCTTTCTAGTCTTCTCTGCGCATATCTGGATCTGTCGAAGCGGCTGCAGCGCGTCTCGCAAGATGCATGGACCGCACAGGCTCTATCAATACTGTCTCGGACACTCCCGGGCGACGAACTCTTTGCATTAGATTTGCTCAAAGATGTGTTAGGTTCGATCACTCCTGAATGGGCCAATTCCAGAGGCATTAAAATCCCCCCTTCGTTCTGGGAGAAGGGTGGCTTCCGTATCCTGCAGCCGTTCATCGAGAATACCGTGCAGCCAAGATCGGGAGTGCAGATCGGACCTTTGAACGCGAGTCCTGCATCGATCAAAGTCTCGACAACCCAACGGTTGCCTACCTATTCTCGAGGACGGGGTCTTCCCCTGTCTCGTGCCTGGGCGCTTTCGCCACTGGATCATTTGCTGCGGTCCGGAACCTCACCCGTGTTCCGATCTCTCCCAGCCGCTTGGGACGCGACCGAGACTGAAGTGACCCGTGCGACGCTGTTGCTAGCCAAGATCACGCGTGAACTCGTCACCCGCTTCTCCTTCGCCGATTTCGTGCCTTCGCGGGAAGAGGTTGTGTTTGGCTGTATGAAAGTGTTCATGCTTGAGCACGAGCAACCGCATACGGATTCGGATGAGGAGGTTTTCCGGGATCGTGAAGTGAGTCAGCTGATGGATGATATCTTGTCACAAGCTGCACCGCCCTCGGAGGACAACCTGGAGGATGTCTCCACGATCTTTCTGGGCAACGCCTCGCCCTTCTACCAGTATTATACCGACTTCGTAGCCCTATACGACGCGATCTCATTCTCCCATGCGACTTTCGCTCGCCTGCTACTGGTCCCGACCTCCATGCGATATCCAATCGACTATCGAAAGCACCTTTGGAACGATTTCGGGCATGTCCTGCGCACAATTAGAACCGAGCCTCAAGATATGCTGTGCAGAGATGTCGCAGAGTTCCTGTCTCCGACTGAGACGGATCCGCAGATACTCGGTGCTTATCTTCGTGCTTTGGTCAAGGGCCAGTTGCACGGATTCCTTCGCACCGTCGCGACGCATCACATTGCTTCTAATATCTGGCCCGATTTAAGGGCTGTGGGAGGGGATGAGCGCGCCGAGAAGCTATTGAGAGCCGCACTTGATCAGGCCAGCTTCGACTGTGCGACAGATCTCGTCAAATATCGATTGGATGAAACAAATCAAGTCTCACGCCGAGAATATCTATCAAGTGTCGGCATGTTGCAGAGATTCTCTGTTCTGTTAGATTGAGTACTTACAAACTGTTTTAATCACTGTATATTCTAATTCAACGACACTAGAAATCCCGGGGATGTGAAACGTGATGATTCGCGTCGTGGTCGCATAAGGCAATACCGCTCGTGGCAGTGAATCTAAGCATCTGTAACGAATTCCCAGCTGCCGCTTGGGAGCACGAGCCTAGAAAGTGGGGGATTGCTTACTGAATAGGGACTTGTTATCATATGAAATGGTCTATGCACGCTGTGTCACTGAGATGTCGCTTGATCAGGGCCTCGTATTCCATCATTCTCACAACTTTGCGCACCAGCGTATTGTGATTCTGGGACTACATCTTGACCTTGTCTGTCAGGGGTGCTTATGCCGGTAATATGATGGTCGACACGACTCAGATCATTCCTGGTGGCTACCACTTGACAGAGCAGTACACGTCTCACGGATACACCAGCAAACGCGACCACTGGCGATGGCAGCCGCGTTACCGATGCTATCCCAACAGGTGCTATTTCATCGATTTCGGACTATCGAGTTTCTATGCCCCGGGCGAAACCACCACTGGACGTTGTGGGCAGGACAAGAGGGTTCCCGAATTCGCCGACGAGGACGTGCCGTACGATCCGTTCAAGCTTGACATTTATCAGCTGGGGAATGCTTTTGCGGGTCTGATCAAAGTGAGGGTCTGCGCAGCTCTTGGCCATCGTTGAACGCGGTCGAAGAAATATCCTCACCTCGGACGACATTTCAACCCGCTTGCAACTGGAATGATCCGTAATGACTTTCACGAGCGGCCGACTGCATCAGCGGCCTTGGCGCTTTTCGAATCGATCGTTGGTCAAATCTCGCCCAGACAGTCCACAGCGCGCCCGCGTCTAAAAAAGCGATGGCCTTTCGAATCAGAAATCAGCGGAGAAGACGATGCAGATTTTCTATTGCCCGATGATTGCGGCCCTGCTCACTCGCTCAGATCGAAGCTGAGTCTGAAGTCGCTCTTGGGAAAATAGATCTTGTCTTTCAGAAGCAATCGCATCATCTGTGTTCTCCGTTCATGGCGGCATCGGAGGAATGACAAAAAGTGTGTGAATGTGAATACCAAAATCACACTCTGATGTGCAATTCACACTCTGATGGACATCTTTCCCACTGCTGTGCCTTCCAAATCCCATTTGATGCGCCGCAATCTTTGTGATGCGTCCGATCAATCAACGGCGATCAAGTTGATGACAGTCTAAGATTGAGTCGGGACAGGGATGTACATACTACTTACTTACACTCTCTGCAATATAAGTATGTGTGACCAACGAGATCTCTCCTTTTCACTATGCTCAGCTTCCCAGGGCTACATGTTAAACTGATTTCAGACAATTATAAGCGGGAGGTGGGTGAGGCAAAGTGTACCACCTCGTGTTGATGCACTGCGCACTATGTTGATAATCTGGATTAAATTAACGCGCGATATTGTCTGCTATCCTTGAGGGTCGCTGGATTAAATTTTCGATAAAAGACATGAGCCTAGAATGCACATCGGCGGGTCTGTGTCCAAGAAGACAAAGCGCGTTTAGAAATAAATCATCATGTGGACTTGAATGATATTTAAATTATGATTGGGTGTATTGGTGTCCAATGTTCAGCCTTGAGACCCAAACACAAAGATATGGAGTAAGATTACCTGCCAATAGTCAGATCCACTGCGTGCATGAGTCCGGTATTTTCTGTTGACTTCAACGTGTGGCTGTAGATATTGTAGGGTAAGGACATCATTCTAAGATATGATACTTGGAACGTGGGGCGAATTAAATGTGTAGATTATCTACCCAAAGTTTCAGCACGAACGGAGCAGCCGTTCTTTCTGACACAACGCAAATGTGCGAAGAAGCGCTTGATCCCCTGTACGGGTAACGGCGGCACCTGTCATCAGCGCGGGGTGGCGGTCTTTCTTACTATCACGTGGGTGTTTTGATCATTGGCGGCGGCTTCCCGCTCGCAGCGGCGGGGTGTGATTTACCATCAGAGTGTGAAACTGCCATCAACAGCTTTCACATTCACACTCAATCTGTATATACTCGCGGCATCGCCATGCTCGTATTGAGCATGTGGTTCGAATCGTTAACGACAATCACTGGCACGCAATGCGGCCGGCGCACAGTTTCAGCGCATTTTCGCCATGTTTTAGAGGTTGATAGTGGCATGACATGACTTCTTCTTTCTTTAAGATCTCGACACGGACGCCTTGGAGCATTGCCTATTGTCTGACAGTTTGTTCGGGGGGTGGCAAGAGTGACGCGACGCGTCCTCACAGTAAACGACAAGAAGAGGTCCGGCTCTCGAGTAAATTCGCTCCAGAGACACGCTTCACTTGTCCATTAATCTCTCATTGTGGTCATTCTTTTCGGCATCGGAAATCACACACACCAGAGAAGCCGCTACATCAGCAAAATTGCACCCCAGGGACCTCCAATTATTACGTAAAATGGCTTCGAGGCCCCCTCTGGAGGCCATCAAACCACCCCCTACCCCCCCTGATTGGAGGCCATCCTGGAGGCACCTTCCTAATTGGGATGCTGCCTGGCCATTTGTCCACCGCTTGCATGGTATGCTAGGGATTGGCCTGAGTGCTGATATATGCTATAGTAGTCATTATAAAGCCTCAGACAATGTCTGACCTCTCAAAAGCATGTATTTCTTGCTTGCAAATGGCAGACCACTGGGTGCACAAAATTCGGGATTTGAGCACATCAGCACTCCTCAGGTGCATAGAGCGGCAGTATATATGTTAATTTGAGATTGAGCATGAGGTATCTGTGCCCACACGCAAAAATGAGATGTTGCTGAAGGGATGGCTTTCCAGAAGACCTAGTATTTCCCGAGGAAACCCGACCATGTAAAGGATGCGCACAAGGGGAAATGCACCAACGTGCCTTCCCGCCTTCCAAAAAACTAGCAGAGAATCCGTTTGATTTGATCCACTCGGATCTCAAACAATTTCCCACGGTGTCTTATCACAAGTACCGTTACTTCATGAGCTTCTTCAACAAAGCACTCTTCTATGGCTGGACAGTATGCCTTGTGCAGAAATCCGACGCCAAGCAGGCTATGCACAATTTCATTGCGATGGTAAAAAAACCAGTTCAATGTCACCATCAAAAAGTGGCATATTGACAATGGGGGAGAATTCATGGGGATGGGAATGGAAGAATTTCTTGCAGAACAAGAAATTCTAGTGGAGAAGGGTGCTCCATATGCTCACCAGCAGAATGGGCATGCCGAGCGCTTCAATTGTACGATCATGGATAAGGCAGAAGCCATGCGCTTTACTGCCTGTCTTCCTAATTCTTATTGGGAATTCGCAATAAAACATGCGACACAGATCTACAATATGACACCTATCAGGCGTCTAAAATGGAAAAGCCCATTTGAAGCCCTTCACAAGGAAAAACCGGATGTTTCTGAACTCTGAGTCTTTGGTTGTGCTGCATATGTCTTTATCCCTGATGAGAAGCATGCCAACAAGTTATTGCCCAAATCGGAGCTGATGACCTACTGAAAGGATTTTTATTCATGCGCACAAACAATTCCACGTTTGTCGCCACCAAGGCATTGTTTGATGAGGAGTTGTTCCCCCGCTGTCCTGACAGCAATCGACCACCCCATGTTCCTGTTGGTGAGGAATTTCCAGAACGTGTTGACCCAGTGAATCCACAAGATCCACCACAGGTAGACGGAGAAGATTGGCTATATGGAGATAATCCTTTTCCATTTCCTATGCCATCTGATTTGGCTCCACCACCTCCCGTACGAGGAAATGATGATGGTGACGACGGTCATAATTGTCAGGCCCCACCACCAGAGTGACGGGATGAACCTCAGAGGTCTTGTAGGAGTAGGATTCCACGACCAAGTTGGGCAGCTTCACCAGCTCCTGAGCCTCGAAGGTCTTCACGCCAGCGGAATGTGCCTACACGTCCAGGAAACGTCTATGGGGAAAAGCGTAACCCTACAGACATAGTCCATGATATCCAGAACAGCAGAGGCTGGAAGCAGTATGTTAGTGAAGATAAGGGTAGCTCCCAATCTCAACCATCAACCAGTGCTGATGCAGGGGTTCCCGGCCCTAGCTCACAACCAGATTCCTCAAACACGGGTGCTTCTGATGATCTAGATGAGGATGTACGCATGGAAAAGCTATGCCGGGAAGAGGGAGTAGAGCTCATTATGGCGCTGCTGTCAAAAGCGGTTCCAAATGAGAACCTACCTGATACGTCCAAAATTTGCGATTGGACGTTCCATGATATCAAGTGGTTGCCTTCTGAACAACAGAAAGGTTGGATTGATGCTCGCCGTGACGAGTTAGAGGCACTTTGTCAGCGCAAGGTCTATTCCCTTGTGGACCGT